TTGTGGCTCAGGTGGATGATTTTAATGTGGTTGTGTTCTCTGAGCTGGATAGTTAATTTGAAAAGCAACATTTTCATTGCAATCTTCAATTTGAAGTCAAAAGTGGCTAACTAACTAACTTGGCATCTAACTAACCAACTCACTTACTAGTCATCTCACTAAATTACTCACTAACCAACTAACTAATTAAATAACTAAATAAGAATCAAACAAACTCCATTCATTTTTCTATTACGCATCTTTCGATAAAGAACATCGGTATCAAGAGAAGTTGTTTGAATTCTTCACATGAATGATGATATTAATTGTATCTCGTGTGACAAACACACAATGACTTGGTAACTGACGTCTTCATTGATGATCATTGTCGGCCACTTTGAACCAATTTGAACTGTTCTCTTCTCGTGTGATTTCTGCTTCATGAGTTGGGAAATTTTATCTCTGGTAATGTGTGTGTTTGTTAATCGCTGACTGATTCATCTGAGTACCAATCAAACACTTCTAGAAATTCAAGTGTTGGTTTGTAGGGATTTGATTGGTTACAGGATTTTCATCATGAGCTGACATCAGTTAGAGAACCATTGGAAAACCTGGGAGTACTGGAAAGCTGTTCCGTCCTAGTTTGGGACTCTTCATCAGTACGCACCCACTGGGATTCAAACCCAGGACCTTCTGGTTACAAGGCGAGCTCGTATACCATTAGGCCACTTGGACCCGATCCAATTTCCCAGGAATTCTAACTTCTGCCAATTCTTGTCAGCTCATGATGAAAATCCTGTAACCTACAAACCAACACTTGAATATCAATGAGATGCTCACTAGCGACTTGCTCTATTCAGGTAGGTAGTTGCCTGGGGTTCTAGTGAGAAGTCGTGACCAGTAGGGTGCAGCAGGTCGAGCGTGAGGACAAATACTCGCCGAAGACATTGGCTAGGGTTCGCGCTATGTCGTGAATTGGCAGAAGTTAGAATTCATGGGACATTGGATCGGGTCCCAGTGGCCTAATGGTGTACGAGCTCGCCTTGTAACCAGAAGGTCCTGGGTTCGAATCCCAGTGGGTGCGTACTGATGAAGAGTCCCAAACTAGGACGAAACAGCTGTCCAGTTCTCCCAGGTTTTCCAATAGTTCTCTAACTAATGTCAGCTCATGATGAAAATCCTGTAAATTCTAGAAATTCTCTGGCATCACATTCAGTGTTTTCTCCGTTCATATAGGTTTCGTGGAACTGTGAATCTCTTGAAAAAGACTGCGATACAAGCAACGATTTCACTACTCTGGAAACAACCAACCAACTAGTTAAATGCTGTAAGAGAGAAGAAACCTAGATGTTCACAGATGTATATGTATCGACAGCATCGTGGGGAGGCTGAGTGTATCCTATAGCCTATCACAATAAGCGCTTGGTAATAGAGCTCAAATACTCTCTGTGTCTCATTGGAAACAAGCGAAACGAGCTAGCTAGCCAGCAACCACTGCTGGTTGATATGAATGAGACACAACTACTAGTACTACTCATTTAAATTATTCAGTAGTATACAGTTGAATTTCAGCAAATATGCTCGCTTTCTTGATCTCAGATCAAATTACCCATTGACATAAGAGCTCAATTCTCCTCATGTCTGCCGAATTAATCTCCATCAAACGTCTGAAACTCGATTAATGATTTCAGAAAGAAGCAGTCAGTATCAGTATTTTCTTGTCCTGTCTGCTAACTGCACGTCCACACTCTTTCTCTTTCATTCAATTACGTATTCTCGGGTGTCACCATCGCCCCCCGCCCCACCAAACACTGACTTGATATAGTGTAATTTGGCTCGTCATATGTTTCTGTGATTTGAGTTGAACTCAATATATTGTTACATAATTTATGAGTTACTCATCATGGTATGCGTCTCTCATCTTTATTACGTAAATATACCATGTATGATAACTTGAACTGCCTGTATAAACACTATATAAGCGTATTTTTCTGAGCACTGTTCACTAGGTTTGCAGTCTCCTGTCACTAACTGACATCATGTGAAATTTGCAAGTATGTTAAACCTTGTCTGCACATAAACTGAATAATCATTTATTCAAGCTGTAAGCAGCTGAGCAGCTGATGAGAAGTCAACGAACGAAATACGCGATGATGATACCATCTTCTTATTCTCCACACAAACCCCACTGTGCTGTTCTTGCTTTACCCAAACAATGAAACAGTCGACTGCAAAGTGATACTGCTGTGCATCTTCTGGTGTTATACTGATCACGGTATCGATCCAGAAATGATAATTACTCATCTCCTTCCGCGAATGGTGAATGTCTTAATTTTAACTGAGAAACACGCCCTCCATTTCAAGATCATTTACTCACTAAATATGATGGGTATATATCATCATTGTAGAGGCAGGCGAAGAAATTATCGAAATGAACAGTTTGACGAGGTAATTCGTAGTTGATTTCATGTTACCAGTTTGATCACTGGTTGATCCCAGTTGGAGGCAACCATCGGAAACCTAGGGAGCACCGTAAAGCTGAGTCTTCTTGTCGAAACTTGGAAATCTTCGGCAGGATGCCTCACTCAAATGGCGTAGGAAACCAGTCTTGTTTTGAATGTCTAATTGTAAATGTTCGTCATATTCAGAGGATTTCTCTTGGGGAGAGCACAAACATACGCCAATGTGGAATAAACTGAACGGAATGCAAGGCAAGCTTCTATTTATCTCATCAAGTCTGTGTTCAGATCAACAGCACTCCTCAGCATGAAAAATGAGACTCGGATTTCAAACTCCAATGTAAAATCAGTGCTACTATGTGAATCGGAGAATTTGCGCTTCGCCGCGTCATGTCACGAAGATCACTTCGAACATATTACAAACCTTCATCAACAGTCGTCTTCGCTCACTCAATATCAGATCACCGGCCAGAAAACATCAGCAACAGGCAGGAATCTCTGAAAATGAACCGACGAGCCAACCCAACACAACCCAGCAGGATCCAGTTGTGCAACAAATATGCAGGCAGAAATGGAGGTGAATTGGATTGACCATACTCTGAAAAAACAAAGCATCAAGTGAGTGACATCACACACCAGGCACTCTCTCTCGATCGAGTTGAACCAGAAACGGAGAGGAGAGTTAATTGATCGTCAGTGTTAGGAAGACATGGAGAGGAGGAGTAGGTGATGCGAAGAGGAAGTGAAAGCATGTGGGCAGATGTGAAATCAGGTGAGAAAATGTTGGCGGAGAATCCCGAACTTAATGGAGACGTGTGGCTGAAGCCCTTTGTCCCTGTAGAACTAAAGGGAACAACTATACTACTTTTTGCCATTATTACCTAGCAGAGAAATGAAACGTTTATAGTTAAATAGTTCAGCAACGTGTTTAAGCATCGGGAAGATACAAGGTGATAAATTCACATTATCGACAGCAGTTTGCATCAGTAATGCAACCTGACAACATATATATTTTCGGATGGCTTTAAGTTCCTGGTGGAAAATAGGGCACCTTCAAGCTAGAGGATTTAAGATTCGGTAGCAGTGGTGTTTTTGATTCACGGGTTGAGTTTGCTAGCCTCATGCCCAACCTTCCCTCTTTGCCAGTCTCATTACTAGTTTAGCGAGTAAAGTGGTGCGTAGGCCTGGGATAAAACCCCCAACCACCCCAAGGTTGGCGAGCATTCTACCGCTGTTCCACTGACGCCAACATATATCTGGTCTCTGTGCAATCAATTTCAGTGTAATATTCAAGTTCAAATTTATCTGCTACGTATTGCTTTTGAAAAGCTTGAACGTTTCTCTAAGCATTTTTATTAGAAAATAGTTGCTAACTAGTATCATCCACCTGGTCTTTTTTTGTGGTTTCAATGCTGTCACCATGCCAGCTGACCTCAGTGTAGTGTGAACGTCTGTAACTACACTAATGGGTAGCATGGGTCCAAATTTCTGGAGGGACAGGTGTTATTGTTTACGCAATCAAAATGTGCCTAAAATGTGATGAGTAATCAAAATTGTAACTTGGTTGGCGTGGGGTAGGGGATGAAGATTGGTAAGTATTGACAAGGGTTGCGTGATATGAAATTGGGTGGTAATGGAGACACTTATAAAAAAATTAATTATGTATCAGGTAGGAGGAGTAAATAAAGGGTTGGTTAAGAAGAAGATATTACTAAGGCGCCATACAAATTTCGAAGAACAAAAACAAGAAAACAAAACATCAATAACAATTTTGTAGAAGTTGAAATTATACCCAAAGTAGAAGGAAGAGGAGGAGGCGACGGAGAAGTTTCTGCTTCTGTGTGCATTAATCGAGTTTTTCTATCCGGATCGCTAAGTCCTTACTGAGCAATGCAAAGTTACGGAAACCTGCCGTTTTCAACGGTAGGCTTCTTTTGACTTTGTAGATGACTTTGAATGAATTCTCCTTACACATACTGAGTGACCAGTGTTGACTATATATGTTCAACTGTAGAACTCTCTATGGATCCACTGTTACCTTTCCGTAGTTATCCAAGCAGGATAATGTTCTCTGACTCCTTTAGATAAAACACTCATCGTAAGACCCATTTATCTCGCTCGCTCCACATGAGCAAATAAATTCGTAGGTAGATACACACAGAAGTGGTCAAATGCGATAGTCTATCTTTGAATTTGTTGTAGAATACAATGGGCAGAAGAGGCTTGAGAATACCCCTCGTAATGTAGCAGCAGCAGGGAGTGTTCTTTTCAGGGCGTTAGATATTTTTCTCTCTCTAAGTTTACAGATACGCTTTTCTGACTGGTAGGTGGTAACAAGGACGACACTTAGGCATAGAAAGCTTCTCACAGATTGCCTCCAAACGTCTAATTTATCTAAACACACACCCAGATTTATTGGACAATCAAACAATTCAACGTTTCAATGGATAAAATGAAATAAACCATTTCAAATTCTAATCAAAATTGACTTCATTCATGTGGTTTGCAGTCTAACAGTTTCGCTTTTTGTTTTTGCTTTCATGCTGTGCTCATCACGCTCAGGAGGTACAAATCCGTGACTGTATTGACGCCTTCCTCGTTGTCTATGCTATTGATGATGAGAACAGTTTCGAGGCAGCTAGACTGATCATCAATGCATTGACACCGCTGAGTGACACGCGACAATTCTCAATGTTATCGCCAAAGAAAATGACGACGATGACGACTAATTCAATGACAAGCCTGCCTGGATTGATCTATCTTGTCGGTAACAAATCTGATCTGGTCAGGGGGAGACAAGTTTCTACTGAAGGTGAGTTGTATTCAATCCCCCCTCTGTGTTTTTGGTTTCAATGTTGTATGTTGTCCAGCATGTTCTAGTGAATAGGACATATTACTACTTTATCATTCCGTCGAGTTCCGATTGAAATGTTGGGCTTTCAGAAGCACATCTCCATTCTCTTCAGCTGGTGGACTCACTATTACCCTTCCTCTCCTCCTCCAACTCCGACTCCTCCTAACACAACCTCCGACATGTCACTCTCCGACCAATGAACAACTATTAACTACTTACTCACCTTCCACCAAGTCAACGGTCTGGGGCATTTGATGTCCTCCCATGGTCCTCTCAACGTGTATCCAACTCATCACTACATTTCCTACACAAATTCTTTGAGCAATATATTCGTGATCGGTTCGTCGACTGCTCCGGTTTCTAGTTACTGACTCCTTCCACTGGCCACTTGAACTTCAGTATGAAGCCAGCCGTAGTGTGAAGTTGTTGATATTTCTCTTCGGTGGCCTGTTAGAAATGCTTCTGGCACAAAATCGAATTGTACTCTTCATGCGCTGGTTATCTCACAAGATGTAAATCCATGTGTCTTGCCTTTTGATTCTGGTTGGATTTCACATCGTTCCCTCTCTCCGCCAGCAGCTGAAAAGAAGCAAACTAGATAGGTAACTGAAGGAAGTGACCTCTTTTCAGATTTCTTCCTTGTGTCGATAGTGTATTCTTAATTTCTTGCCTCCCACAGCAACAAGTGAACTGATATATACACACAGAAGCGGTCAGGCGCGAGATCTTGTCCTTTGAGCTTCTACAGATCAGCGCGCGAGTACAGAACGCTACTCTCAGTGCTACCGTGAAGAGCATTCTTCCTAAAGCAGTGTGAATATTCCTCTTAAGAACATCGATGACTAAGTCACCTTTGAACTCGAGGTTCATATAAGCTACCTTTTTGTCACCGATGGCGTCTATCTAGCTATTGGATTTTCTGTTTGATGTTTTGGTCTATGAATCTTGGTGTGTATCCGTTTTGTGTGAAGATTTCTTCCAAGTAGTGGAGTTCTTCTTTCTGCAAGGAATCAGAGGTGCAGATGCGTCGGACACGAGCAGCAAGAGATCCAATTAGGTTTCTTTTTCGACTGATTGGTAACCAGCTGTAGAAGCTTCTCAGTTGGCCGTTCCATGTGTGTTTCCTACGGATGAAGCGTTCTAAAGTTCTATCAGCTGGTCTTGTAAGTTCAAAATCAAGAAAAGGTATTTTACATACGTTCTCAATTTCAAGAGTAAACTTTGTAGCTGAATGATAGTTGTTGAATATTTGTAGTAACTGATGCAGATCGTGACCATGATCACCGATAATCCCTGAAATTGATTTTATTGCCTCAACGTTTTCTGTGTGATACAGCTGGAGCCAATTGACGAAGATGGTTGAAAAGATATAAAAACCTTAGGCTGTAATCTGTGGATGTCTCATCTTCTTACTGATTAGTCTTCGGGTGAAAGTGAAATTTGAGTATTATTCTACCCCAATTACATTAGTTTGATTACAAAATAACACACACGCTCAAACAGACATCTGCTTGCTAACAACAATTCAGTACACACTATAGAGCACGGCTTTTTTCATATTAACTCAATAATAACCTATGTAATCATTCACAAGAGGGAATCAAAGAACTCTCTATTGAGAAGTGAATTACTCTTCAGGTGAGTTACATGCTGGAAATTCAAAATCATTGTGATAGAATATATTCAGTGGACATTTTAAACAGCACTCAAATATGAACTTCAGTGATGAGTGGTTGTTTGCAAAAACTGTCACTACCAGAAACAGGAACACTTCATGAGTGTTGAAATTAACTTTAAAATGATCATATTTAAGTGGATTTAAGTGGTAAAATTGCTTTCACAAAAAAATCAAAGTGAATTGATTCCCCTTGAAGAGTGACATTAGAAATTAGTAGCGCTGTCTATTTTGTGTTTACAATTGGATGAATTCTAGATATAATTTCAAATGACTGTGAATTCATGTTATCACACTCTCTTGCGTTCACAACTCATAGGTTAAAGGAATTCATGAAATGACTGTTTCAGTGAAGAAAATTTTTTTTTCCTTTCGTTGAAGGCACCGTCAAATAGGCTGTACATTCGTGCATGTTTATAATAAATATGTGAGAAAGTCTCAGAACTAGGTCTGGTCAGAAGTTGAATTCATGAAATTGCAAGTGCGTAGACGGCTTTCGATGTTTCTCAGTAAATTGCGCTTTTCCACCCACAAGCTTACGACTAACACTTTCCTGCAAGGTCTATAAATGGTACTGGTTTTCAATCCATTCATGGCTGTAATCCTGTTTCCTAACCTTCCCCAAAAGCCTACGAAGGAATTGGTGTAGGTGGTCCCGGTGTATTGGGATCCACAAAATCATTGGAGTGGTTTACTCTGTGGTGAATATATATCCAAGGGATGACAAAGAGTTATAACACCTTTCCCACTCACTCATCTATATGTAATATAGATCCTCGTGTCACAAGTCGAGTAATAATAGGTAATAAAGTATTTGACCTTCTCTCTACCATCCTTTCAACGAATGCATTCTGTAGGGAGATGTCTTATAAACCAATCACCCAACCATTGTTTGTTCACTCATAAGCACGGTTATATTTTTTCTACAATAAGACAGTTTCATCCATGCGTACGACGACACATTCTCATTCTAATAACGAATTAATTCTCTTCATTTTCCATGACTCGATGTATCTGCACTGCTGGTACCACTGAACCATTGATATTTTCAGATCCAGCAGCTGCCCATCTTACAGGCTGTTTTAAAACTCAGTATTCAAAAATATACCAAATCTGAATTAACGACAAGTGGTAGCTGGCGAAAAATGTCCCTTCGAATTATATTCGAATCATCAGCTTACATTCCCCTGACACTTATTCGTCACACACAAATCGGACAATGTTGCAGATGTCCATCAATCAACCTGCTGAAGACTTTTATGGTCATCACACATCCATCAAGCATTTTATTTTGTAGACACAATTAGATAGAGAATCCCTAGGAAGTCGGTCGTTCACATGGTCAGCGTGGCTTCGCAGTGTGTCTGATGTTTTGAAGAGAAAACTCTGATGTCGTGCTTACTGAGTACTCTTTTGATATACATCATCGGACGTCTGTACTCTTTACGGAATAACAACTGTTGAGGTTCATACATGTTTTTGCAATACGTTTCCGATCATATTTAGTGTTGTCAGTGTTGATTTTGTTGACTAAGTTCCCTGGGTAGTTATTTTGCTTGAGAGTCTCAGTAATTTCTGATATTTCTTCTTTTTCTTTTCATGCGTTAACATCAAAAAGTGTGCTTGTCTAAGAAGACTTGAAACAACTGACACCTTCGTACTGGTGCGATGGATGTGATGATCCAAAGTCTAAATATGTGTTGTTGGAGAGGGTATTCTGCCTTCCGTTTTCTCCCTCCTCGTAACTAGGCAGGCATTCTAGAAATGGTAGTTCACCAGCATCGACTGATTCTGCCTGCTTGCGAAGTAAACTGGATTCTAGGAAATAGATTGTTCAGTTTCTCCGAAAATGAACTGTTTAGATCTTGTATTAGCACTACAAGAGTATCATCTACATACCTTAACCATATTTTAGGCGTGAGTATGCTTGAATAGATAGTATCTTCGAACTGATGGTTATTCTATGTGTAATCAACTATTGTGTAATCAATTTGCTTCATTCTCTGATTTTGTTTTTTATCCTCTCTAACAGAAGGTCGTCATCTGGCAGCCATGCATGGAGCGAAATTCATCGAAGTATCTGCATCTCTAAATCACATGGTAGCTGATCTCTTCGTCCTGTTGATTGGTCACTTACATGAGAGTGAACAACGTGGTCGAAGTCCTCGATTACCAACAGATAGAAGAGTGAATCCATTACAATCCAGCCTACTGCTGCCAAGTTCATCCAAGTCGCCCACGAATACAACTAGCATAGTGAACACATTCAAAATACCGACGGTGACCAAGGCGAGCTTCAGTAAATTTCTAAAGAAGCATTTTACACGTTCAAGTCAAGAGAGTGAGTGAATGACACCCACCCACCGCCCCGCCCCCAACAATCGACAGATTCATTCATGACTAACACTCATCATCTTGTCAATATGATGATCTACGCAAAAAGAAGTTGGAGAAATGTGTCATTTTAAGATTTATTTTTAATTCAATGTGTAATTTCCTCCCTTCCCCCTCCACTTGTAATATGACTAGTGAATTCATCTTTTCATTGGAGTGAAGTGCTGCTTTCTTGACATATCACATTCGGTGGGGATTTATTGTTTCATTGGTTGTATAGTGTCGTGCACAATAAAAAGGAAAACTGAATTCCTTTGAGATGACCCTCGTCTTCGTCTTATTCTTCTGCCTCTCAGCAGTAGTATTAGTAGCGAGTTGCAGGTTCTCATGTAATCCTGCCGATTGCAACACTTAGTCGGTATATTTCAGTTGGCCACTGTTCACAGTTTGTAAGACAAGAAATTTCGCCAGAGAACGATTTGAATAAATTCTGGTAGACGACTACTCCTATCAGTATAGACAGACGAATAAGCCTACAGTCTGTAGTATATACTGCCGAAGCAGAAGGCAGCACTGACAGGCTGTAAACACTCAGGCTTCATGGATATATACTCGTTAGCAAACGCAACAAGATGCCTCTAGTCGTAATTGAGCTTAACATGAATACGTGCAGACATAATTAACTATCTTACTAAAGGAATAACGTACAAAACCCCTAAAACTCACAGGCATCACTGTTTCACGCCTATGAGGTCTACCAAGAGTGTATAAGTAAGGAGTGTTCCACACTGTCCCGAAAAATGATTATCAGTATCACTCCAGGAAAAGGTTTCAAAAGTGGTTGGGCTAGTAGAGTTACTTCAACGCCTAAATGATCAACTAGTGAAGGACGGCGTCGAGGATAACTTTCAGTTTATTGTAGGATAAATAACTTGCACACAACTGATGAACATACTTAGTTGACCCTCGATGTTTCGTCCTGATTTGAGCAGATTAAAGGAGCATCAAAGATAGGACTTCCTTTAGGCGAACACAGAGAAAACAGATGTGGTGATGAAGATTCCCGCCCGCCAACAGCAACAACCACAACGGACAGCAATCAGCATAAATGAGAGGAATCTGAAAAAAGCGACTTGCTTCACCTTTCAATCGACCTACCTACCTACCTGGGAAGCATTGTTTCAACTACAGGAGGACGCAACTAATCAGGATATCATCAAAGGTAGTATCGGGAAAGCGAGGCAAGCTTTCATCACTCTCATCAAGTCTGTGTGAAGATAACAGCACTCCACATGAAAAATAAGATCCGGATTTTCAACTCCAATGTGACGTCGGTGCTGCTGTACACAAATCAGAGATTTGGCACGTCACGAAGGGCACTTCAAACAAAATACACATCTTCATCAACAGTCGTCTTCGCTCAATACTTCACTCGCTCAAGATCAGAAGGACGGCTAGAAAAGATCAGAAGCAGGCAGGAATCTCTGGTAATGAAACAACGAACCAACCCAACACAACCCAGCGGGATCCATTTGTGTAACAAATATGCAGACAGAAATGGAGGTAGACTGGATTGGCCATACTCTGAAAAAACAAAGCATCAAGTGAGTGACATCACACGCCATGCCCTCTCTCTCTCGAACGGAACCCGAATGAGAAGTGGCGAGTTAGTTGGTCGTCAGTCCGAGGGTAACATGGAGGAGATGAAACCATGTGGGTAGATATGGAGCGAGATGAGAAAGCGTTGTCGCTGAAGCGAACGTAATGGAGAGGTGTGGCTGAAGCCTTATAATCAAACATAGACTCATTTATGCACTTATATATTCCTATTGATAATCTGAGAGAAGTGTTGCTTAGATGTAGAAGGAATTTTCAGTGTCTTTGTATTCATGAGAATATAGTGACAAGTTGATGAAGGAGTAGCCATTGGATCTCCACTAGGTCCCATATTTCTAAACATCTATCCACTTAAGGTAGAAAACCGTCCAGTGAACGGTGACATCACGAACATTGAACTGTACTCTCATTACGTTGACGACACTTCTTTGGTGTACTATGAAGCAGGGACGCACAGAAGCGATATGAGTGATCGTAGGCTACAAAAGTAGGAAACATGAATTGGCAACTGTGGAGGAGGAAAACAGTCACTGTTTCTGTGTCTACAATTCTAATGAGATACGTCTACAAAGAACTTGCACCGCGATCATCAAACGAGAGCGATAGAGAAGACTCTCTATTATGCACATATCATCCAAAACTTTAGCTGCTGCACACTCTTTACTGCCAACAACTGAAAGACGTCTTATCTATTCCTAGCTGTTTAACTACAACCTCTTCATGCTTATACTGTCTAAACTGTGTCCTGAGGTTCAAGTAATTTAGAGATGTGGTAAGTTTAACTGCGCCGCTCTATGGGATTCGGGGAAATTTACACAATTTGTTCCGCAACGATGAATTCAAATGCAGAAAGGGTTCAATTCGATCACACTTCGTAGATACGGGAAATAGCATTGATGTCAATGTAGCGGCCTCCAGGGTCATATACCACATTTCGAAGTCAAACACACAATGTGCTTAGTTTTGTTTTAATCCTCGAAGAAACTCAGGCAGACAGACAGAGGGACAGACACCTCGTACATTAACAGAGGTACATTTAGTTATTTACAGACGTCGACCTGGCAGCTTTCAAGGTCATCAGCCGCATACCAATCAATCTTAGCTTCACAGTAAAAGCTCGTCTACTACATATTGCTCATTCTGGCTGTTGAGATCCACATTAAAAACCTAACTTATGCATGTATCGAAAAGAAGAGGTTGGTTCAGACACTGTCCTTACCTCGCTTGCCATCTAGGTTCGAATGATCCTCAATTTGTTGTTGTAGAAATTTCCTTCATTTAATTTGATATTCTATTTACTATTATGTATTTAAGCTTCTTATTATAATTAATGCATCTTAAGTGAACTGTCTCTTATTCCACTGGGATTTTATTTAACAAATTGATGGTATTTAAAAAGTACACCAATATTGTTATTGACGACCATTATACAATATTCTATGTATATAAACATATATATATATATAACTGTAGAGCCAGAAAAGGAGGATATTCTCGAAAGGGATATTCTTTGTTCAACCTGTTTTCCTTAACGTTCCCAGCAGAATACTGGCAGCCTTCAAGCTAGAGCTCTTACAAGTTTCCGCAGCAGTAGTGCTTATATTTTTACGGTTCGGAGTTGTTGCTAGCCTTAAGGCCTTAATTTTATCTCGTGACCAGTCTTATTACCGGCTTAGCGAGGTAAGGGAGTGCGTCGGTGGCCTGACGGGACGAAACCATGCACCAAATGCGCTGTGGGCGGTGATCATTCCACCGCTGTGCCACCAACGCTACAAATATATAAATGCTTTTTGTGAACTTTTGTGCTTTCAGTGTATGAATGCACTGAAAAAATGAAAAGCTGACCTCATTATCCGGATCAGAGTGTATCATTCAATTCAGATAAGAACATTAACACAAACAATTCACTGAATTGTTGCATGATTGACCATTATTATTGTTATAGCGTAGAAATCTATTGTCAAGATTACCATGTAGTGAGTGATATTCAAGTGTGGATTCATTTAATCACACCCACATGACCCCAAACACACAAAAAGAAGAGAGAAAAGTGAATAACCCTCATTCTATTGACTTATGACATTCAACTTTTGAACATCCTGAGATGAACAAGTTGAACTAAATCGGTATCTTGTGTTAGCCAGTTCCAAAGTGAAATACTGAACCGCATCATACTTGAGAGAATCAAAAACGTCCTGGATGAAAACGCTTGATTCAGGGGAAACAAGTCATGCATCAATCGAATCACAACACCACGAATCACTATTGAACAGAGATTGGAATGGCAGTGAACTCTCTAAATCTATCTCAACTTCATCGACTTTGAAAAGACCTTCGGTAGTGCAGCGTAGACCGAGAGGTAATTTGGAGACTACTTCGATACTACGGAGAACCAGTAACAACTATACACCTTAGTCAACAGTTATAGAATAATGCTGCATGCCAAGTAATTCACAATGGGAAATTCAGGGAATCCTTCATATTGAAGACGGGAGTAAGACAAGGCTGGCTCGTCGCCTACTACCTTCAACTATTATCCTGATAGCTATAGACTGGATAATGTGACAGACACAAAGCAAGTAACGAAGAGACAGGCATAAAATGGAGCAACACAAAAAACTCGGAGGATCTGCACTTCTTCGATGATTTATGTCTCATTTCCAACAAACTGGGAGATATGTGAGTGAAAAGCAACAATTCCGCAGAAGAAGCATCAAAGATAGGAGTTCCTTCAAGTGATATTTGAGAAGACAGAGGTGTGAGATGAAGATTTCTGATGACCAACAGCCCCAGCAGCAACAACAGACAAAACTCAACAAGCATAAATGGGAGGAATCTGGAAGAAGCGACCTCCTTCAACTACCTGTCTACCTTATTATCTTGGAATCATCGTTCCAACCACAGGCAGACGTAACTGGTGAAGATATTAAAGCAAGGGTAAGGATAGCAAGACGAAATTTTTATCGCACTCATCAAGTCAGTGTGGAGAAGGAAAGCATTTGGCATGAAAGTAAAGTGCGGTTTCTCAGCTCCAATATGAAGTCATTGTTACTTTATGGATCAGAGACTTGGCGCCATTCCGCGCTACGTCACGAAGGCTACTTCGAACAAATAACACACCTCTCCTCTGAATACCCATTATCAGATGGTCGGAAAAGCTCAGCTACAGGGATCTCTGGTAGCGAACCAAACATGAACTAACTGTGGAAGAAATTTGCAGGAAGAAATGGAGGTGGATTGGATTGTGGCCATACTCTGAGAAAACCATCATGTGGCATCACACGACAGGCTGTCGAGTGGAACCTAAGAGGGAAGCTGTGAGTTAGTCGTCAGTGTGAGAGTGTTATGGAGGATGTAGTGTGAACAGGATGTAAGAGTTATACTTGGTTTAACTTAGA